GCATATAAATCGTTGCCCAGTCATCTGGAACACAATGTGGCCCCTTCCCCACCTCCTCCCTTCTTGCTCCCCACCCCCTCTCAGGCAGCTCTGCCTGCTGGCTTCACAGGTCTGGAACAACTGCCTTGAGATTCCCCTCAATAAAACAAGGAATTGCCTTCTGCCATAGGTTGCTTGGACTCATACAAAAGCTGGCGTGGAGGGGGTGGGGCAGTGGGAGGGCGTTGCAAACGATGGATACATTATATTATAAAGAAAGAGCAGTGCTTTTCAGTTATTCCTCTTTAAAGAAACATGGTGAGTTTTGCTTTTTCTTTTTTCTAGAGGTACTATTGTTGATCTGAGACCTGCCCCCAAAAGGAGAAGTTCCTACATGGGTTTTCGAGGTGCCAGCAACCATTAAAGTTCTCTCAGTTTGAAAATGTTTCATACCAAATTTTGTTGTCAAAATAATACTTGATCCTCACAAAACGGGAAAATAAGATGAGCTTTAAGTGGGAAATGTTCTGCAAGAGAAATCCTGACTTGATTTCTGGGCTCTTATTCTCAATTCAATAACTCCTGAATGAGTGAAATGCTATAGGCTCTTAATACATAATACAAATTAATCATATCAATCATCACGCTCTCCTTGTAAAAAGCTCAATCGCCATTCTACTTAGCAAACAAAACTAGGTTCTTAGTCCCAGGCAGTCTTCCCCCAGGAGTCTCAGCTGATTCTGTCATGTTCAAAGCCATGTCACCCTTACAGAGCCCAGCACCAGACCAGTACAGACGGCTGTGGAGAAGGCTGCCGAATTGGTAATAGAAAGAATGTCTGGCAAATGATCTCTTTTCCTGTTTCTAAGCCACACAAAAAGTACTACATCAAATGGGATGTGGTAGTTAGGAGCTTGGGCTCTGGACTCAGACTTGGTGGGTGTGCATCTCAACTTGACCACCAACCAGGATGTGGCCTTAGGCAAGTCCCCTTGCCCCACTGATCCTCCATGACCTGGCTCACAAAGTGGGGGATGGAAATACCTACATTAACTGACAGTCCTTAAAATCCTATTTTATTATCATCGCTTATTCAGCTCCCTTGACTTTGGACCACAAAGGGAGACATGCCCAAACTCAAAATGTGGCCAACCATAGCTCAAGCTGCTGGTGAGGCATAGAGTGGCTGCAGCAGGAATCTCATGGGAAGAGGCACAAGGTTTGCTTGGTTCTCCTGCTCCAAACCACACACTTCCTGGAATGGGGCCCGATTATGGCCAGTAGGGCCACCGCGCACAGTAGGATAAAAAAGACACTTGAAGGACACAATCTGCCAACCTGAACCTCATATTACAAGACACTACGTGGGAGTCCTGAGAACACTCCATCCTGATGTAGTTACAAAGCCCAGAGACCCAGAGGGCAGGATGCCTCTGACAACTACTCTCCAGTATTTTGGAGGCATTTTTTTTTTTCTCCTGAAAAGTGGGAAAATAGCAAATAATTAACAGGGATAAAATAAAGACTCTATCTAATATCTTTGGAAATGCTTTGAGGAAGTTGAAAGGTAGGCAAAATCAATGTCATAGGAAGAGCAGCAGAATTCCCAGCCAAACACAAAAGCTTTCCTTTCAAACGCCCATTTCAAGGGGGCTTGCTTCGGCAAAGGGCCACAGGTGTTACTATTAAATGAAGGGACACAACACAGGTACAAGCTGTCATGACAAATAATTTAGGTGGGGAAAAGCTATACGATGTAAGTCATGAATCAACATTAAGTCTTTGCATTAAGTCTCTGGTATCTTCCTAATTGCATATCTTATGTACATTCTCTTTAGAATGCCCAGGATTGGATTTTCTTTCATTTTTTATGCTTATGTAAAACTTTGCTCTAAAATTATTTCATCAATCATGATAACTTACTAACTTGGAAAATGATCAGGTTCTCAAAATCATCCAAACTGCTAAAAGCTCTAACCAAAAGCAGCCATTACTGTCTTTTGAAATACATTAGGACACTAGGAAACTCCTGGATGACTTATTTTATTTTATTTACTTTGAAAGTCCAAAAGACTAAGACTCATTGAAAGACACACACACACACACACACACACACACACACAGAAAGAGAGAGAGAAAGAGAGAGAGAGTGTTATATACCTGCACCATGTGGCAGAGAGGCTATTTAAGAGAGGGTCAGAGCCCAAGGAATTTTTTTCCTTCTTTTCTTTTTCTTTTTCTTTTTTGGCACCACAGGTGCCATAATGAAGTGGTAGAAATGGAAAAGAAACGAGGCAAAGGCAATGCGGTACAAATAAGACAGTAGAGAAAGTTTTAAAATATGTATTACTCCTGTCTGTGGGGGAAACACCTCTTTGGATATGTTCTTGACAGATTGAGTTATTTCTGTCTATTGGGTATGTATAAAGACATATTTATGGATTTATAAATCTTTTGAAGAGGGCTGTTATTTACCCAGTTGACTAAAATGGACTCAAACTGTGTAAATAACTATTTAGGACATGTACTACGGGCCAAATGCTGGCACAGCCTACACACACCCATGCCTGCCAGAAAAGGCAGACAGGGAAAACATGGACAAGCCACTGTACGCACTTAATCCAAAGGCTGCACAAAGACCCAGCTCCACAGGTCTTAGGGATGAAAAAAACGGGCTTAGAAGGGTCATGGCTGACACGGAAATGTGCATGAGTTGTTTTGGCAACACTTTCAGGCATTGTTCTGCATTTTGCAGGAATAAATCTCACTGCAGGAAAAAAAAAAATCCCACCAAGGAAAGAAATGCAAAGAAGACCTAAAGATGTGGCTCCCACTACCTCTGTTGCCCAGATGGTAGAGGGCAGGGAGAGGAGGGCAGCACAGAAAGTTCTTATTTGATTATAGTGAAGTAATGGACTAGTTATTTGGTGGAGAGATGAGGAAGAGGGTATGAGGAGTAGAAACATTATATGCATAATCAGGACACTAGGATTTTAGGTCAGGCACTGTGCTGCCACCTGAAGAAATAAAAAACTTGTCCATATCTTATTTTTCTCATCTGCCAAATGGGGGTAGGTCTGCTTCATCTGCCATCTGTTTTAAAACGGTTCAATCGAGATGCTTCCAATGCGATGATTTATGTGAAAATGAGAAGCCTTTCATTTCGAAAACCCAAGGTGGTGGTCTTAAATATTAAAAATATTTATATATTTTTATATATAAGGCAAACTTTCTAAGTGATAAACCAATAACGTGGAAGAGTCCCTGGGTCCTGGTTATAATCAAATTCACTATTAAATAGCCCTTGGGAGATCACTTGTTGAAGTTAAAAGAAACACAAAATTCCTAACTCCTTGACATGGCTCAACAGAGGGGAAGAACTGGCATTGGGCATTTGCCCTCTGAAAATCCTCTTATCAGATTATGTTGGAGAAAACTTAGGCATCTCAGTCTTAAATTCAAGCGCATTTCAGCTGTCTGCCAGCCTTAATGCAGCAGCCAAACTGCCTGCCCATCCTTAGATGATGTATGTTTTTAAAAACAAGAAATGAAAAAAGAAAGAGAAACAAACAAAATGCTCTGCTGTGACCCCCACGTAGCAATTTTGGGCTACAGGAAAAAAAAGAATTTAGATTCCATTTACACCTCTTTGAAAACTCATAATGTAAGTAGAATTCTGAAAGTAGGGCTTTATATATCAAAAGTGCTGACGCTGCCTTAACTACAGGGCTGTGAACAGCGACGCCATAACATATACATATGCACTTGAAAGAAAAAAGGCCCCTTGGATTTATGCTGCATATCATCTTCCAGTAAAAGTCAGAGGTCAGAGTTCACCTGCTTCTGCCTCGGCTCTGGACTAGTTTACTACTCCAGGCTCCGTTTTTACTAGGCTTATACTCGTGATTAAGTCAGCAACTTCTCTTTGAACAATAAAATGTCTCAAATGCTTAAAATTATGTTTGTCGAAGTTATTCCCAGGGCAAATAGCATATATGTGCCTTAAAAACAAAACAAAACAAGATAACCCCCCAAAAACTTTCCTGTTCTTGTTTTCAGATGAATCGCGCTAAATTCATTATAGACTTTGCAATTCTGATTGGTATAGTCCCACTAGCTTAGACAACAAAACTCCTTCATTGCCTAACAGCACCCCAGTGAAACATGATCACAAAACCAGATTTTAAAGTATGTACCTACTGTGGGCCCACAGTCAACTCCATGAAAGCAGACTTTCTATATTCAGTCAAAAAATTCTCTTTTAAACTTTTACTGCATTAATTAAACACAAAATCCACTGTAGGAGTGTCTCATCAAAAGCAATATTGAGTTGTGGGGATACTCATTCAGCTTTTCTTGAAGACTGACTTGATGTTTAAACCTTGCTCCCTGCCACTTAAATCAAGCATGCACATCCCTGGAGACCCACATGCACACACGTGTGTGTATGTTCATGGCACAACACAAGCTGATATCTTTCCATGTCTTCCTTATTCACTTAATCTGGCTTTGCAATGAAGTCACACACTTTAGAGTTAATATAAGGAAAAGCAGAAAGATGGCCTCAACCCAAGGGAGAGGAAAGCCCAGCGTGGGTTGCCCAAGGCCTTCTAAGCAACTGAAGACATTGTTAACTTGGGATCCTAATGGGTGTTTCTTCATGATTCCTTGGAAAAAACCTCTAAGGGCAAGTGATAATAATACTTTCTATTTGTATGGCAGGGCATTAGCGCCATACTGTTTATGCATATTTGAACTTCCAATCTACTTCTCAAGTCTTGCCCTTGGTCAATTCACTGACCCTGTTTCATAGAGGTGGCCAGGTGACAGGCAATAGGCAACTGGGATGGCACAGAAGAAGAAAAGGGCAAGGGAATTAAATAGGATGAGCTGATTTTCACATTCTACAGGATTTGTGTTCTAGGAGGAACTGTATAGAGTGTAACTAACTAGACATTTCTGATTTTTCAACCCTTGTAAATAAAACAAGTATCAAAAGAGAATGAGAACACCTCCCCTAC